AGCAGGTGCTTGAGGTAAGGGAATCAAATTCTGTCTGGGACAGGTTGGTATTATGAGAATGTGTGGTTGGTCTTCATGTACCTTTTGAATTACTCAGTGAATTAGTGGTATGTAGGAAAGGAGGCATATAGGAGTGATGCAGGCCATATGAGAAGACAGGCATCTCTGATCTGTGGTCAGATTTTGCTCTTGAGCAGAATTGATGACATTTGTGATTCTTGTGAATTGCGAAGAGAATGATGTGTGGTTATCACCACTTGTGAAATATTGTTTGAATGACTGTGGGGTTCATCTCCCACTTGTAGCTCTGAGAAATGGCAGCTAAGTTTGTCTGTTGTGGTGTTATGAGAGCCTGGTAGATAGGATGCCATAGGTGTAATGTGTTTGATACACCAATTCCATAGTTTGAAGGCTTCCATGCAGAAGTAATAAGCTCATGCTCCACCCCGGAGGTCGATATGGAAAATACACACATTGTTCTCAGAGAGAATTCATACAGTTTTGTTTTGTGTAAGTGATAAAAAGTGGTGACAAGCATTGTGTATTGCTTTGAGATTCATGTGTGATTTAGGCTCTTGAAGGGATCACTTGCCTTGAAAAGTGTGCTGTCCCATAAAAGCTCTCCATCCCATGAAGGAGGTTTCTGTAACACCACATGTTGGGACTCCCTGTAGCAACATTTTATGTTTACATCTACCAATACAGGGAGGTGACAACATATTGTGGTACCGAGAACACTTCTATTTAGTCTGTCACAGGAAAGAGTATATACCGCAGAGAGCCAATTCTCGAGGCAATGCAGGTGGAGTCTGGCATGTTGTGACTGCCATTTGTCCCAGGATTTGGAGCCAGGTTCTTATGATGTCACAGGTGCTAAATTGGACAGTATAGAATCTAGGAGTGCTCCTATGAATTCTAAGACTCACGAAGGCGTGAAAGGGCTAAATGATAACACTCTCTACTGACAGTGTTTGGAGTCCATCATAAAATTGAGGAAGCATCTATGTGCTGGGTGAATTGTAATCTGAAAATACATATCTTGACGATCAAGGACTGAGAAGCAGTCCCTTGTCTAGAGTTGGTATAATTGTGGCAAAGGTAACCATCCTGAATTCATTGAATATGAATTTATTGACTGAAAATCAGTCTCCAACTCCCAGTTCACTTCTGGGTATGGAAATAATTGGAATAAAAATCCCTTCATCTGTCGGGTGTTGGAACTGCTTCTACCAACTCTTAATTGAAGAAGGTACTGCACCTTTAAGTGTAGACGATACTCTAGAGAGGTGCACATTAAAATTACTCTTCAAAACATGATTGTGAAAGAGGATGTGTCATCAAATGAGTGTTTCCAAATGAATCCCACTGGAAATGTTTCTTGGCCCAAATGCTATTTAGCATTTTTATCAATGGCTTGGGAAGAAAACAAAAACATTAATGATAGTGGCAGATGACAAAAACTGGAGAAGTAATAAAGAGGACAGGTTACTGATTCAGGCCAAACTGGATCAACTGGGAAATTGAATGCAAGCAAACACTATCCATTTTAATACAGACAAAAGTAAATGTAAATGTCCAGGAATAAAAAATGTAGGTCATAGTTTGGGAAGCACTGACTCTAAAAAAGTTTTGAGGGTTGTGAAGGAAAATTGGCTGAACACAAGCTCATGGTGTGACACCAGGACCAAAAAAGCTAATGTGATCCCAGGGTGCATGAACAGGGGAATCTTGAGCAGGAGCAGAGAGGCTGTTTTACTTCCTTATCTGGCACTGCTGCAATTGCTGCTGGAATATTGAGTCCAGGCCTGGTGACCGCAAGAAGAAGGATGATAAATAGGACAGGATTCAGAGAAGTCATGGAAATGATTGAAGAATGAGACAGCATGCCTTTACAATGACAGACTTGAAGAGTTGGGTTTATTTAGATTAACAAAGAGAAGGTTAATGGGTGACCTGATTACAGACTATAAGCACCTACATGGGGAGCAAATGTTTAAAAATGGGATCTTTAGTCTCCCAGAGAAAGACAAAATATTATCCATCTGAAGCTAGACAAAGCCAGACTAGAAATGAGGCACAAACTGTTAACAGTGAGGGCAATTAACCATAGGAACAATTTACCAAGGATTGCAGTGTATTCTCCTGCAATTTTTAAATCAAGCTGTGCTGTCATTTTGGTGAGGTTTTTCTGTGGGTTGCCTTCTCTAGGACCTCAAGAGGTCTGTCAAATGCATTCTCACTGGGGCACATTCTTTCTGAGTATGAGACAAAGGAACTAGTTTTCAGAGTCCTTGTGATAAATTTGAGAGAAAGGGGCTGAAAAAAAATTTGGTTTTTCTCTCCAGGGTGCATGGGATTCATTTTCAGGCTTAAGGAAGCACTGAAAGTTTCCCCGCTTTGTTCTGCAAGAGAGTGGGACTACCCGCTGAATTGTGCAATCAGGGTCTTCCTTGCTTTTGGAGCTTCTACCTGCTCTGCACTGCAGTTGGTCATCCTCTGAAGGAGTTACAGCTGCTTTGGTGGCTAGGCCATCCCACCTGCCTGTTCAACTCACAGCCTTTGGACCTAATGGAATTAGGGAGAGAGAGAAGGATGCAAGCTGGACACAACTCACTATCTGCTGAGCCTGAGATGGTTGCCTAATATATACACAACAATTTGGATTTAAATAAGAACAGCCATATCGAGAGAGATCAAAGGTCCATAAAGTGCAGCATCCTGTCCTCTGACATGAGCAAACACCAGATGCCTCAGAGGGAATAATCGAATCAGGTAATCCTCCAGTGATCTATTCTCTGTCACCCACTTCCAGACTCTGGCCCAAAAAAGCCAGGTATGCCATACCTGCCTATCCTAGCTAATAGCCATTGATGGACCTATCCTCCATGAATTTATCTAGATCTTTTTTGAACCCTGTTATAATCTTAGCATTCACAAAATCCCCTGACAGAGTTCATACAATGCACAACCTGTGCAAGAAATACTTCTTTTGTTTTAAACTTGATGCCTATTAATTTCATTGGGTGACCTGACCCTTAGAACTTTTATTATGAGAAAAAAAAAAATATTTCCTTATTTACTCTCTCCACATCTGTTCTAGAGCATGTGTGAATATGCTGAATAGTACTAGTTCCAATGTAGGCCTCTTGGGAACACTAATGTACCTCTCTTCATTGTGAAAACAGATAATTTATTTCTACCCTTTTTTTCCTATCTTTTAACTAGTTATCAGTCTGTAAGAGGACCTTCCCTCTTATCCCATGACAGTTTAGTTTGCTTAAGAGCTTTTAGTGAGGGACCTTGCCAAAGGCTTTCTGAAAATCTAAGTAAACTATATCCACTGGATCACTTTTGTCCACATCCTAGTTGACTCCCTCACAGAACTCTAGTAGATTAGTGAGGCATGATTTCCCTTTACAAAAACAATGTTGACCCTTTCCCAAGGAATACAAGTCTGTTCTTTATTACAGTTTCAACCAAATTGCCCAATACTGAGGTTAGGCTTACTAGCCTGTAATTGCCAGGGTTTCCTCTGGAGCTTTTTGTTAAAGCTACTATGAAGCTAGTTGCAATCTGCCCAGTCTTCTGATATTGAAGTTGATTTAAATGATAGGTTAATGACCACAGTTAGCAATTCTGTGATTTCACATTTGAGTTCCTTCAGAACTCTTGGGTCACCATCTGGTCCTGGTGACTTATTACTCTTTTGGCTAGCAATTTCTTCTACAAATTCCCTTAATGAGATTCAACTGGGCCATTTCCTAAGATGTGTCAACTGAAAAGAATTGCCCAGGTTTGGGCATTTCTCACATCCTCAGCCATGAAAACCAATGCCAATAATTCATTTGGTTTCTCTTCAATGGCCTTATTGCCCTTGAGTACTCTTTTAGTACCTTGATCGTCCACTGGCCCCACTGGCTGCTTAGCAAGTTTCCTGCTTCTAACACACACGCTTTTTAATTTGACTTCTTGCTTCCTTTTCTGTTCTGCCACGTCTCTAAATGGCGGTGGAGCCCATAGGAAGATGCTGTATGGGAGGTCTGGGGAGAGTTAAACCCTGAAGGATTAACTGATACAGGGAGAAGGAGGAATGCCAAAAAGGGAGAAGACTGCTCTCCCTTGCCAAAAACCAGAAAGTTAAAGGGCAGAAAAGTTAAAGTAGGAGGGAAGACAGGAGCACAAGAAACCACCACCATCTGGCTGTGTGCAAGAACAAAGTAGGTGTGGCCAGACCATGTGGTACCAAAATGCTGAACCTGCCTCTATAGCTATGACTAGACTACATGGCTCCGTCAACGGAGTCATATAAAATAGTTTATTCGGCATAGGCAAGGAAGCGGGGATTAAGTAATCCCCGCTTCATTAAAATAAAAATGGCCGCTGCGCTGTGCCGACGATCAGCTGATCTGGCACAGCAGGGCAGTCTAGACATGCCGCGGTTGACAAGGGAAGCCTTTGTCAACAAAGGCTTCCCTTAAAGGCTTCCCTTGTTGACCGTGGCGCGTCTAGACTGCCAGGGCTGTGCCGGATCAGCTGATAATCGGCACAGTGCGGCAGCCATTTTAATGAAGCAGGGATTATTTAAATCCCCGCTTCTTTGCTTATGCCAAATAAACTATTTTACATGGCTCCGCTGACATACACCTAGACATAGCCTATGAGTGGCAGAGAGAGGAGAACTGTGGGAGATGATGTGCTGCAGAAAGACTTAAGTTAACTGGCACGTTTAAAAGAACAGTAATGTTTCATTAAGACACACATCATATACAAAACAGACCCCATACACTTCAAGGTATTTTTATCTAACGTAGACATCAATGCTTAAAGACAACTAAAATATGCACAATAATATGCAAAATAGATGTATTAACTACTCAGGGTTAGACCAAGGACACTTGTTTTAAAATAACAGAAACTTCACTTAAAAGAGGGAACTGCTGATTAATAAATGGATCTTGAATACACCTCTGTCTGTTATAAATTATCCAAAACCTTCATACCTTTAATTCTTTTTCCTTGGCAGCTAGTTCTTCTTTCAGTTTTTTTATGGATGCCAAAAGCTTTTTCTGTTTCTCTTCATAGTGCTGCCAGTGGCGTTTACTCTCTTCCACTTCTAAGTCAGCTTGGTTTAATTCGTCCTGTTGGGAGCAAAACACAATGTCACAATTAAACTCATTGTGGAAGATCTACGAACACTTCCCCAGCGTTTACTGACTTAAAATGGGGGGATATCTTCAGTTACTATTTTCGGCAGACAAGACACTGGGCTAGACGGACCGTTGGTCTGAGCCAGTATGGCCATTCTTATGAATGGTGAGAAGATAGTATCATTCAGTTCCCTCAGGAGGCAAATAAATAACCACAAAAAACTGTGAAATCCTCCCTCACCACAAAAGACAACCATAAAGAATTAGGTATTCCTTTTCCAGAACTGATATGACTAAACAAATGAAAGGATGCTAGTTGATACAAATATGTTAGTTCCTCCCTCTAGCTCTCAGGTCCATTGGTGTTGAAGGGTTATGATCAATTTACTTTTGATTGCCTTAACTCGGGGGCCCAATCAATGACTCCTGGGCCATACACAGCCCAGTACAGCATTTTGTAAAACTCTTGGCTTGTCTCAACACAATATATTAACAACCGCTTCGTTAGCATTTTGTTGTCATTCTAGTTTGTGTCATTCTAGTTTACACAAGTATGTACACAGAAAATACCACACATAAAACTAACTTATCTAAATACACACAAAACAAGTTGAATTTAAAATATAAATCAATGCAGGTGATTTTAAATCTTATTAAAATAGGCTGTTTGGCCCACACAAGGCTGTGCTTCAGTTTATGTGACTCTCCTGTGTAATCATCTCCCACAAGAAAGGAGTACCAAAGTAAAATCTATCATTTGATTAGTTGTTATATATCACTTCTTTATTTGATGGTGCTTTATTGATCATCATCATTGCCCTTTACGCCCACTGGTGTATAGAGCAGCAACAAAGGTCCTCCATTTCTGTCTGTTACTGGCCAGCCTCTCAATACTGCCCCAAGTGCAATTCATGCTCTTCATTTCTACTTCCACGATCCAATGTTGTCTTAGGTCATCCTCACTTCCACTTGCCTTCAGAGGTCCAGTGCACAGCAAACTTTGTGATGGAGCTTCCATCTTTTCTGAGAATGTACCCAATCCATCTCCACCGTTTTTTCATAGTGACGCTTTATTGCAGACTGGTGCTTTGTTAGACTTTTTTTTATGATATTAGTAACATAAGTTTCCTGTAAGCTGTGTGCCTGCACAGCTGTTTTCTGAGCTCCGCTCACAAGTTCAAAGCTCCCGTGAAGGTAGGGAGCTCAGCTGACCAGTAGGGGGACGGGTTTTGTCTCACTAAGCAAGCAGATGAATGGAGAGCAGGTGAAAAGGGGAGCTAAGGAGGGAATAAGTGGCTGGGGGGAGGAAGAGGAGAGGGAGCTATTGGATGAGGGGGAGTCAGAGGGAAAGGGAGTTTGGAGAGTCATCTGCACGAGAAGAAAGAGGCAGAAACTCAACACTCTCAAGCCTCCTGGGAAGGGAGAGATAAGGGGCTGACTGCATGGGGATGGTGGGAGAAAGAGGGTGTGAGTGGGTGCTGGCATTTCTGCAGGGAGGTGGAGGCAGGGGGCAGTTTGTTTGGGGTGTCTGATTCACTTGCTGCAGTCCTCTCTGGCTGGATTGGAGACGGCGGGTGTGTGTGTGGGGAAAAGAACAGGCTCCATGAGTGGTGGGTATGGGTATGTGTTGCTAGGAGGACATTTGCATTATTACAGTTCAAACGAAGTTTACAAGGGTGTTAATGGCTTACGGTAAGAAAGAAAAATATTCTTATCACAATTTCTTTGGAGTGTTGCAGATATCTAAAATTCTGATCTTAATGATTTTTTTAAAATCCTATGTTACTAATATGGTATATTATATTGCAATAAGGCCAGGTTTTTGCTATGTGGCAGAATTCTGGCTCTTGTGAGTCAGAAGTAGCAAGTACTGGGTGTGCTGTTTTGTAGGATGAAAAAGGAAGTTACTCACTTCGTGCAGTAACGATCGTTCTTCGAGGTGTGTCCCCGTGGGTGCTCCACTTCTGGTGTCGGGCTGGTCCCGGCGCCGCAAATCGGAGCTTTACAGAGCTGTGT